TCGATGAGGCGCAGCAGTTGCTGGAGCTGCTCGGGAGACAGGGCTGACATGATGGATAGTTTATCGCGCCGCGGCGAGCATGTCTTACCATCGTTATTTAGTAACTACATCTCGTGACCATGGCTCCTGGCTGCGTGTTGACTGGCACGTCGAGGAGACCCTACGGTAGGTTTCTGAGCGTGCCGACAAAGCCGTGCGAGTGCGCCGAGATGTGCCGCGATTTCAAATTACAAGTTTGGCCAGCCGCTCTATCATGTTGTGCTCCTGGCTTTCACTGACCAAAAAGGAAGGTATGGGAATCTTTCATAAGCAAGAAGCCTTGCTCTATTTGGCATCATCCCCTAACTAGTGGGACTTAGTAGAATTAAGCCTTGCATCACGCCCAGGAGCTACAACGCGATACGAGCGGTGGTTTAGGAGCCTGGATTAAGGCTCCTTTCATCTCAATTCGTGCAGAAGGTTGAAGATCAAGCGAGCCACGGCATATCCAGCAAAAGCTTTTGTGCGTGGCGGTCGGAAGAAAGCCTTTCAAATAGGTGATGAGCGGGGGAATCGAACCTGAGGCACGCGACAACATGACTGATCGCCGGAGAGCTCCTCCGTACCCTTTTGTCAAGACGGTATGTTGGCATTCGGAAAATGAGTCATCATATCACGTATCTCAAGCATAACCCCGCCCGTGTAAAGTCCCGTACAAATACATGCGTATAATCATAATTACATCTACTCATAATGATAATCAACGGCAAGCGAGCTATTGACCAATTATCCATGCTTTGTGCGCTTGGTGGGAGTCCCGAAAACGTCACTCCTTGAAGGAGGATATACGCCCGGTGATGAGGACGATTCGGTTGCGAATAACCGTCTCCGAACCCCTTCGTCAACCGCGTGGGCATGGGGTGACGACGAGGGTGACCGATGAGGGAACAAGACATGTCCGAGACAATTCACCGGCGTTCTCGGAGTTGATGGTCCGGACGATGATTGTACCGACGTTGAACTTCGCCCTGTCCAGCCGTCGCTAAGGTGAGGGGTGGAGGACGTGTCCGACTGCCATGCGCCGTCCGCCATGCCGCCAACATTCACATGCAGCGCCTCCAGCTGCTCATACACGGCGGCAACATCTTGACTCATCCGCGACCTCCCGCACATCCCTATCTTCGTCGTCATCTTCATCACCCAACATGTAGTCTGCATCGGCGTGGTTCGACAGAGTCTCTTGCATTTCGGCATCGCCCCCGGGGTGTGTCGCCAAAGAGTATGTAGTCACGGGGGCGGAGGTTGCCTTTGGGGGGATGTTGTTGGTCATTTGCGCCATTTCTTCCCGCATTTCGCTTTCGCTTGGCCCCCACTTGTCGGGCGGTGTATCTCTGTCGGTGGGAATAGCAGTCACGGTCTTTTTCCAGGTTACGGCTAAGCTCAGTAGCTCCTTGCGATAGAGGAAGACGTGATGATATAAGCCCTCAGACAGGTCTGAGCGAAATGTCAATAGAATACCAGGATGGCAACAACCAATCACTGACCGGCCATATTGACGGCGTGCTCGACCGCCTCCCACTCCTCGTGCAACCAAATCTGCATGTTCTTACGTTCGACCGAAATTCTGTTGAATTCCTCCTAGCATCGATCTGTGCTCAGCATATGACGAATCCCATCTTTCACTTTTCGTCCGTAAGCCAACGGACGGACGGATGGTTGTCAACACCATCTTCATCCAGCAGCCCAACATCTAGCCAGATGTCATCGTCCACGTCAAGACCCCATAGATTTTCCATGTTGATCGGTCTTGGAGGCTCGGTCCGAGGTGGAGCTTCACGCTTCTTGACCAGATTGGCCATTTCACCGCATAGCGAATTATACCTGCGGGCGAGTGTCTGGATTCCGGGTTCCCGTCGATGGACCGCGTTCGTAGCGTGTGCTGCCAACTTTCGGTCTGACACATTCCCATGATTCAGGCTCGGCACTGAGGATGAGGTCCAGACGGAGAGACGCACCGGAAGACTCCGTGCGGAACCTCCGTTCTATACCCGCAAATTCGAACTTGCGCTGACGCAAGCGATCCCGGATACGGCTCTTCAGGGCCAATGCGTTAAGGCGTGCTGTCAGGTAGCGACTCGTGCGCAGCACTTGGAGATCCTGCCTCCTGCGAAGGTCTAGGCTGTCCTCCATTCGGCGCTTCTTCGTCATGGCACGGCGGCGCTCCTCCAGCAGCTCAGCTATCCGGAACATTGTATCGGTATCACCTTGACCCTTCGTGACTGCCTTTTCGAGTTTCGTGATGTTCATGTCGAGGACCTTCAGCTGATCCTGTAAGATGAGAATCGTGTCGATGGTTCTTGCACCTGCGTCCTTTACCTGTCCTGACAGGAGAAGTCAGTTTACTCCGGCTTCCAGCAGAAGTGATTTACTCCGAAGTGGTTTCGTCTGCGTGGATTTTTTTTGAAGTTCCCATTGGTCGCGCAGGAATTCCATGGTCAGGGCACATTTTTGAAGACCGTCCTGAGCTTCGATCCATCGAGAGCGGCACGCCTCGTACTTGCGTACAAGCCATTCAGCGATTCCACGCCGGTGTAGGCCATCCAGATGGTGTATTTGAGAGTTGATCACATACAACCGTTGAAAGTACTTCACAATTCCGTCAGTGATCTCTTCTTTGTTCAGGCGGATAATCACTTACACCGCTAACACGCAGCCCGGCCATGAGGTGGTCCAGTGCGCTCCAGAGGCGCTCGCATCCTTCTCCATCTGAAAGGCCAAAACACGCACACTTTCGCGGGTGGTATATGATTTGACATGGCCATTGGTGGCCGAACGCGTGGAACACCGAGATCGCGAACACTATGCGGTCGCGGTAATCTGGTAGGAGGTCCCACTTTTAACAGCTTCGATGCAACTGACAGCCTATGTCGTATAACACACCCGCACGGAATGTTGCCGGCACGTGGCGGAAGAACTTGTCAAGGAGTGCGATGGCATAATGCTGACGTTCGCCTGCGCTGGTCATGTTTGCGAGCCAGAGAACGCGATCATGATGGCATACGAGAGCCATAAGCGCAGTGTCGTCGAAGAATTGAGTGCTCGCCTTCTCGCGTGCTTCGTCCGCGGCCTTGAATGAGGATTCGCAACCGTCGAGGACGGAATTGGGCAGCTTGATTGGACCCTCACATTTTTCCTCGACTTCGTCTTCAACCGCCTCTGCGAGATCCCGTTTCTTGGCTTTGTTTCGGGGACTGGTCGTAACGCCTGCTGAGGCGTTATTGGATCCCTTTTGCGTCCGTTTAGGTCGCTTCTTCTCTGCCATAATGCGTTCCATAGCTTTGATCTCAAACTCCTGAAGGAACACGGACGCTGGATGGTGCCGCTCTGGGTCGCGTTGCCCAGTCGCGCGTTGCTTTTGCGTAAAACAAGCGTCTAGACAAATGATAGCATCCACACTATCAGCACAGCAGTTAGTCGCAGATGAGACGTGCACATTAGTTTGACTCACCTCAGTGGCTCCGTCTCTCGTCTGCTTCCGCCGAAACATAGTATACAGCGAGATCGTAAGTAATCGCTGACACGATCGCCTTCCTCTCTGCGAGCCCGATAGTTGCGTTGGCCATCGTGGTTGCCGTCTCGACTCTGGTCTGTGGAAACACCCCAGGTGCGAGCTTGACCGTTGCAAGACGCCCCCTCCGGGACACCAAAGTCCGATTGTCTTGGGCGGCGATGATGCTCGTTGTCTTCATCTTGCGTCAAACATGTCAAGCCAGAGGATCCTTCGATGGTTCATGAGTTTATCCAGTTCAACTGCAAGCACAAGTTGGACGTACTCTTCGGGACTTCACTACCAGGGGCTCAACAATTGCGGTTGTCAACAGCATCACCGTGAAGGGCCCGCTCGACAGAAACACAGCCGGTGAGAACTTGCCCGTCACACGGTTCGCCATCCGGGACGTTAATATCAGATTGTCCCGGACGGGAATGGTGCCTATCCTCTCCGTCTTGTGTCAAACATTCCATGCCAGAGGATCCTTCAAGGTTTTGTGAGTTTCTCCGTTTTATTGCAAACACGAACTGAACACACTCTTGGGTTCTCCGGCCGCACACTTTCTCGGATCCGAGAGGGCATGCCTTGACCGTTCCACCGCTTCTGATGTTCAGTGCCGTACCGTGTCGATCAAGTAGTTGTACCAAGTGAGGGAGTTACCGAATCACCTTCACAGTGAGTCCTGTTTGTCAGACATTCAGACCATGAAGCCCTTTCGGTAGAAATACTTTACTAACCCTCGACGTAACCTTGTATTGTCGTACGCTCAAGAAGGACTCTAACGTAGCGGCTAAAGCCGTAACATTCGGCGAGATGTTCACAAAGAGGGTAGCCACGAGTTCCAGCATGTTCAAATCGAACGCTACCGAGGGTGCTTGAGGCGCGCAAGGGGATAGACCATGAGCCAGTAGACGTCTTGCCGCAGACATACACTCGCATATCGGGATCTTCATATGTTTGAGTCCTACAGGTTTGTCTATATGCAAATCCGGGAGATAGAAAG